ACTCAAAAATGGCGCATCGAAGGAAAACAATTCAAGAGAGATCATTTGTTTTGAAATGAATGGGGAATTCAAAAATAATTTTTATTTTGCAAAAACCGATTGGTGTACCATTTTTTTCTGAAAAGATGTCGAAGTCAATACCCGTACGCACGCCGCTGTTAAAGCTAAACATTATTTTTTATTGAAAAATATGCAACTTTATTAACTTTCACTACGTACTGAATATCATTGAAATATCTGAATCGGTTCTGAAAATATTAATTAATTTCCATTTTTTTTCCTAAAACTTCAACACTCCCAGTTTTTGTAACCGTAGTTTATAAAGCAAACTAACATTAATTGTCCATCCAGATTCAGACCCTCAAATATTCGCATATCATTAAGGAACCCTGTATATTATTATTATTATTACTACGCCAAAAACGCTCAAATACCCCTCGTGGGGTATTATGAATCACTGAAAAGGCTTACTTTAATTTTCGCGTATGCGAAACAGCCGTTTATCATAACACCAGTGACGGGCAGACAAGTACCATCAAACGGAGGCTTCACTGGGATGAATAGGCTTGCCGAATGACCACAGAATACACCAAGTGACGGCAGCACACAAACAATGGACGTAAGATCCCAAGTCAAATACCACTAATTGCCCTACAGGTTGCGGTTTGCAACGCATTCCAGGAGGCACATTGCTTACACTAGTGTTACGAATCAAAGCGATTAACGTCGTTATAGTACAGGAGTTTCAGCAAGAATCATACTGAAAATCATGAGTAATGCGTGAAAATCAAGATACATCACACCTTTGGTTAATGTAACATTTGAAACTTATATGGTGGCTTTCAAGCTGATAATTTCCCATGTTTGTTTTGCCGAATCAAACCACATACCCGGTGCTCCAAATTCGAGCCTCACCATTGGGATCTCGGAAACGGTAACAGATAAGAAGTCTCTTAATGAAGGCAAAGTTGCGTATTTAGGTAACTAAAAAGATGCCGCTTAGAAGGTTTCGAATTTTCCCAAAATCATTTTAATCTTTTCTGACTTTATTCGTAGTGTGATGTTCGGTTTTTTCAGTCTCTCTCCGCAAGTACTTTGAATTTCAAAACTTTCTATGCGGCGTTTTGTTATCTACCTAAACAAGCAACTTTGCCCTCATTTAAGCGACGTCGTGTCCCATACAGTTTCCGAGATCCCAATGGTAAAAGTCGAATTTGAAACACCCAGCATCTTTAAGATTACTTTTTATTGTACGACGTGTGGTTTCCAACGGTGTCCTTCTTCAAGTACTATTGACAAGTATGCAATATATTACGTTTATGTGTCCTCCACTTCGTTTGTTTCTCTTTCATTTATAGATTTTTATAGGGTGTGTGACAAGCACGTGGGATTACTAGACACTGTTTCAGAAAAATGTATAAAGGTATTTGAAAACCTAAGCAATATTTGCGGTAAAAAATTAACCACTGCAACAAGTTGAAACTGCATGGTGATCCAAAAATTCAGAATATACAAAAGGAAAGTAGGAGCGATTCAGAAGTTTTCTTAGCTACTTAGGGGTGACCTTGAATTTAACCATGGGCTTAGCAAGCCTAATTAAATGAGGACCTAAGCTTCTTGTCCCGTAAGTGGATATAGCAGAGAATTTCACGTTCCACCATGACCTGACCAGAAGTTATTTTGAAATTGAATAACGAGGTTAAGATAACTGTCACACTGTCCTTTGGAACGATTGCACTGATATTTATGAAGATACAGCAAATATTAGCACCACAGGCAGAAGATGCTTCGACTTTTTCCTGGACTTCACTGATCACCCTGAAACATGTTTTGATCATGACTTGCAGTGCAAAAATTGCTAATGCTCCGCACTTTTCAGCTCGGAAATGTAAAGAGCGAAATATTTCACATTCAGAGAGGCTCTTGAGGGAAAATTATTCAGCCTTAAACATCCTTAAAGCTCATCGTGAAGAAACCTCGTTTGATAGGATTTCAAGGACATTTCTGAAAATAAAGCATAAACAAAAACTTGAGTCCTTCAAACTGACGTTGACCGTCACCTTGGCCGTCAAATCAAAGTAGAGGCATGTCTTTGCGTGGCACCCTGTACCTTTAACAGCGGAAACGAATAAAGCTGATAATTTCACCATAACTTACGAGCTTTTGTGAAAATGACTTTCTCATTGGCCTGTCCTTGAAGGTCACCATCTAGGTCAGTTCCAAGGCCACCAGTGAATGTTCGAGGAAAGATTAAAGCCCACGCTGTGTACAGAGCCCCTGCTGCTTTATCTCAAGATAACCGTAACCGTAACCAATGCGTTCAAAGTCAGAATAATTTTTACCCAAGATCATATCTGAATGTAGAATTTTCGGGCCAATCCAATTCCTGGGGTCGAATGTATAGGGTCATGTTTAACAAATCGTCGATCTTAACCTGACTTCCAAGGTTATGACAAAGTTCTAACCAAGGTCACTACTAAGTAGTTACAGGAAAATCATAAGTCTTTGATGTTTTACTTTTACCTACCCCTGAATATTGTAGAAGTCTCACTCTAAAGGTGTTGTGGCACTCTACTGCACTTCCGTAGACCACTCAAACCAACAAGGTTTTGAATACCTGCAAAGACCTGATTCTACCAAGTTCAACATTTAATGAAGATCTATCGAATAAGCTTTCTGTAAAAACCCGTCTATACATTGTTTCTGAAAGTCTAGGAATCCTGGCTTACTGTGGGGGAACGGTATTTGTAATTTAAGCCACAGCACAGATCAGTTGAAGGGCTTGGGCCAGCCACATTTTGATGAAAAATTAGATTTCCATACGAGCGAACTCGTTGAGTAGGTATCTATGTCTGAAGTTGATTTGTTTGATGATCCGCTGGTAGATGTCGCTATAATCCATGAAGAGAGTTTTTGACAGATTGGTTTAGTCTACAAATTTTTACGCCGAAAAGGACATAAGCCACATACATTTCAAGATGGACGCCAAGCGGAAATTGTTCGCGGGTGAAAATAATGGATGTTTTAGTGATTCGGAGAGCGAAGATGGTTCTGAATTTGGATCAGATGATAGTGTAAAGGACAGAGACTATAATCCGACTAGCAGCAGTTCTGACAGTGACTCCGAACGAGAAACTCAGGTGAATAAATAAACTTGTGGCTTGTGACCTTAATGCCGTTATAGATGTGGCTTATGCTTTTTTCACATAGGAGTGCAATTTTTTAATATTACTTCTGCAGTATTACTAGATTATGATTTCAGACTAATCATTCCTCAGAGTATATCGTAATCCTAATTTACAGAGGCCATTTTTAACAGCAAATAACTCCTGAACACATGATAAAAATATGTAATTTTGTGCAAGTGGCTTATGCCCTTCTTCGCCAACTAAATTGATGTCTGTGTCTTGTGACGTTTTTCAGTATCCGGGAATAGCGATAACTTTTGCAAAATAGAACTGAGATTTACTGTCACAAATAATTTTAGTTATTATTATGATAATCAACTGAAATAGGCATTCGTCAAATGATGTTTTTTTGTAACAATAAAATCGCTTTTAGGTTGCTGTAAGCAGAGGCAAGATGTTTACTCCAGAAAAACCAAATAAATCGAGATGGAGAAAACGTAATATTGAAGGCAGAGCAAGAGTGAAATCGAAAACACGCAGAAATCTTGGCCACAGTTACATAGATTTCAAAGGTCGACAACGAGAGTCTAAAGTATTAGGTCCACCATGTCAGTGCAAAAAGAACTGCAGACAACTGCTCCAAGAAACTGCGTCTACTATATTCCATGCATTTTGGGACTTGAACTCGTATGACGAACAGAATACATATCTATTTTCTACTGTGAAGGTTATACCTAAAAAGAGAAGCTACAAAAAAAAACTAAACGCGCGGAATCGGCTCGACGAGTAACAAACCAATATTTTGTCAAAGTAAATGGAGTTGACATTCAAATATGTAAGACTGAATTTTTATCGGTCCATGGACTTCAAAACTCCAGTAAGCGATTAAAACTTATCGCTCAGCAAATTGTTGAAGGCAGGACAACTCCAAAAAGGGACGGTAGGGGCAAACATCAAAACAGACCCAACAAAATTTCTGCAGAAAGAGTTCAGTCTGTTCATGACCATATTAAAGCCATTCCGAAATATGTGAGCCATTACAGTCGGAAAGTTAATCCAAATAGAGTTTTTCTAAACCACGACCTCAACATATCTACTCTCTACAAGGACTATTATGTTGAGTGGTGCAAAGAACGTGGAATAGCACCAGTAAAAGAAGATCGGTATAGACGAATATTCTGTTCTGATTACAATATAGGATTTAAGTTGCCCAAGAGTGATACTTGTCATACATGCGACTTCCTTAATAATCAAATGGAAGCAAATAAAGAAAACCTGGAGGAATTCAATGAATTTAAAACACAACTGCAGCTTCATCAGACGAGAGCACTTGCCATGCAGGATAGCTTGAAAAAAGAGGTATCAGACAATGCGAAAAATTCCACGTGTATAATATCATTTGATTTACAGCAGACTCTTCCCACGCCTTCGCTAACTGTGGGTCCTGCCTTCTATTTACGAAAGGCTTGGACGTACAACCTCGGCATACACGATTGTGTCACTGGCAAAGGTAGCATGTTTTTGTGGGCAGAACCTACTGCAAAAAGGGGAAGTGAAGAGATTGCAAGCATCCTGCTGAAATACTTACAAGGTATATCTTCCACTAAAGAGCACTTGGTAGTTTTCACTGATAACTGTGGAGGCCAGAACAAAAACTGGGTAATCATGTCTTTGTGGTTGCAACTTGTTCGCGAAGGATTCTTCAAGTCCATAGAGCACCGTTTCCTTATTCCTGGCCACACTCACTTGCCTTCAGATAGAGACTTTGCCATCATTGAGAAGCATAAGAGGTACATCAAGCAGGTATACTGTCCAGAAGACTGGGTGGATATCGTTAAGAAATCCAACAGAAAAAGCCCATTTGACACAGTCTTATTGGAACAACATGACTTTTATGCATTTGATTCCATCTCTATTACGAAAAAACAATCTACCGTAGATAAGGAGGCCGTCAAATTTAATGAAGTGCGCTGTTTCAAGTTTGACAGTGAACATACCAATTCTATGTTCATAAAACATACCCTTAACGGAGAATTTCTTGAGGTAAATGTGGGTAAAAGAGGATCTCGGCTGGGAAGTCAACGAACCCTGACAGATTTGAGAAGAAAATACAATGGACCTCTAGCACTGAATGACAAGAAGATCAAAGATCTGAAAAAGCTTCTAAAATATATCCCGCCGATTAGTCAGCAGTTTTTTGTTGATATTGTAGGAAATACAACTGAAGCAGAGCCAGGCAGTGAACAGCCGAAGGAAGGAGAAGAAGAGGCTGAAGATATAGATGGCGATGATGAAGAAGTGAATTTGGACTAAATGAGTGATTCAAGCTATCATCAGAATGCATTATTTTTTTTGTAATAAGGCACCAAGCCACAAAATTTTCAAAAATAAATTTTTTCTACGGAAATGTGTCACAATTTTTCGAATTAGTCGCCACCAAATCCTAGTTACCTGAGTTGGAAATGTATTGCATCAGTTCTAGCCGATTGTTGCAAAAAACCTGATTTCAGGATTTACACAAAACTTACAATGCCTTTTTTCTCAAAATAAACCCAATGAGGCTTAGGTCCCTTACTGCCCCAAGCCCTTCAGTTGTAAGATGAGATTGTAATTTGCTATTTAAAAAAGGGCCCTTCGTGCCGGTTTTACCTATAATAGAGAAATTATCCGAAAGAATAGAAACTGTACTTATCTAAAGGTAAACTTTATACTAATATAATAATAATATCGCATTTGCAGCATGTTCTTGATTTTGAAATACGTCCTAATATTGATCCAGTCATACCACCTACACGATGTTGTCTGAGTGTATGCTAAGTTTCAGAGTTCCATGTTTACAAAACGTTATTGATCTAAGATTCGTGATGTAATGGCAACACTAGCATAAATCTTATTTGCATATCGGGCTATGCAATTACGTATGATAATGACGATATACGGATACTGTCATAGCGTAGAGTAATACACTCTATACAGGGTGTTAGGGTTAAAAAGAGTGCTTCATTATATATGCGAAAACTAACTACGAACATACGTAACAAAAAATAATTGGATCAAGTCCGTCAAACAGGTACAATTAGTCCATAGTCCTCACCCACTTGACAGCTTTGGGCTTTATACATTTTCCCTGCCTTACCGAAAAAACCTACGATTAGGAAACGTTGCTATGACTAACCGCGCCACTCATTAGCTACCCTTCGGACAGGCATCGGTCAGACCTCACCCTAGGTATATCTATTCTTTGCTTCAAAGACAAATTGAATATATGTTTGAAATATATGTGAGGTTGGACGCGTATAGATATAAAAACGCAAAAAAATGAGATATAATTTATCCCACCCACTACAACCACAACTTTCAATCCCTACTAAAATTTTCTGGAAAATGATCAGGAGCTTCTAAAACATCAATATCAAATATTTTACATCCCAACATAATTTTAAAAAATAACTACAGGTCTGAAAAGTTAAAAAGTTTGAGCGATTCTGATTCTTCTTCATCCACGCCAATTTATCCATTTCAAAAATCTGCAAATCCTTTTCGTTCCTAGCATAGTCGTAATCTTGTGTCAAAATTTCATTACAATCCGACTGGTACTTTCAAAATAATATCGGGGCCAAGGATGGTGGTAAAACACACACACACACAGGCTGGCTGTCTGATAGACCGACCGACCGACAGACCCACGGGAAAGAATGTCATGGTTTTTCACAGTGAACATACTACAGCATCCAAAAAAAACGTTTTTATAATACTTCCTTGCCTGGCGTAGGAAGTAAAAGTGTTTGATATATTTAAAATGACGTATATATATTGACCTCTCACAACCCCATCTTTGCATGATAAAATGTGAGCCTTCACAGTACAAAAATGGGAAAGTTATGCGGCGAAAATCGAGCTGTGTGTTCGGACATCTTCCAGTGGTAATTTTCCGCTCTAGAAAGCGGCTGCTGCAGCAAAGCAGTCATGGAAGTGAATCGCTTGGCCCACACCAACGTATATAGACACGTAAAACTAAATTCACCCGCAAAAGGCGTTCAATTGTAATATAGCTCAGGCATAACAACGAGCGAAAGATGAGCAACTATCGTCTATCCAGAGTATAAGGTCTATCGAAATAGGACAGCACAAATCGCCATCTATTACCAGAATCGATCACTGCAAGAGTGAAAACAGCAAGGCGTCTATTGGAAATGTATTCCACGTTACATTGTGATGTCTTATTTCAACAAACCTTATACTCTGAATAGAGCATAGATGCTCAGCATTCGTTGGTTGTCATACCTGAGACCAAACTTAGACTATTTTGAGAGGTTGCCAAATAGCACGAAACAGTCGTCCATAGTTGGCCGTCAGAGATCGGACGCACGAGACCTGTATTACTAGTCTGTTCAATGGCGAGTAATCGTATCTACTGTCCCACCAGAATCAGGGGCATCTTGCGGCCACAGTGATGAAGGGCCTGACTGTATGAGTTGGGATACAGATCCAATAGACAGCTTACTGTCTTCACTCCCTTAGTGGTCGATTCTGGTAACAGATGGCACTTTGTGCTGTCTATACTTCGATAAATCATTTCAAGTTCCGATGCCTTAAGTGAGACTGGCACCGAACAACCGTTTTTTATACAGCGGCGTAGGTACAAACTAGATACAAAGGCACCGCTACTGCTAGAGATCGAAAACAGCAGATGACCCTGAGGCCTGTGAACCTATGAGTAGCTTCATCAGACCGCGGTATTACGCGCGTAATCCACAGTTTTCTGGTATCTCTGAGTGCCAGAATCCACCCCTAAAAAGCCGGGTAAGCTCGTTCACCATATATGCATCCCATCGTCACTCAGAGGAGAACTAAGTGCTCAGCACCCTATGATCCTTGACGTACTATGCAAAAGCTGTAAAAGCTAAACTCTGCTGCGATCATAACCAACCAAATATAACGTTGTTTCATGCTTTTTCGCAATCATCACTACGTATAGGTCTAGTCCTTTGGAGACAGATGATGGAAAGCAAGTAGTAGTAGTAGTTGTAGTGGAGAGGCAAAGTCTGTCAATAAGGCCACCTGTAGTCCTTTTTGCCGATCGCGAGTATACTAATACTCTACTCCACACGTTGATCCTCTAATCTGTCGAACCTTCCTGATCATCTAATGAAGGGCAGAATGACCGACCATTCCACTGAGTAAGCAACTTCACTATCAAACTCCATGGTTCCGGATATATCAGCCATCAGACTGCATTATACGGAGCAGCAGCCTAGAAAGTGAAACGTTAATAGTCCCCCTCCCAACACATGGAGCAAACCGAATCTCGTCTCACCGACTATTAAGTCTACAGTGGTCGCTGGGAACCTCCATCAAAAGATTAACCGACTCTTTACCACTGTCCAGTAGCCAGCGCGTCCGACGTTGGTTGGGTTCTGCTACGAACCTGTTAGCCTGCCTTCAGTCATCTCTCCTCTTTCGCCATGCTTTTTCTAGGTCGCTATACACCTATTTAGTCAGGACGGTGTTGACCTGACGCCGGGACCCAAAGCAAGGTCATTTCTCTGGATCGAGCTGAGCTCGGACGAGCAGTAGTGCATTCTTGAACTAAAAGTGACCTTGTTCTCGAAGATGGCACTGGCTTCAGAGCTGCTTAACTGTCGGAGCATAAGAATATGCTCTACTATGTGCATTGCTGACCTATCTGCCTGGATGACCCTTGTGCAAGTCACAACACATTCCTGCACGACTACCGGGTTTATGACGGAAAGCAAATAAATAAATAAATGAATAAATAAATAACGTTTATTGCTCAACAGTTAAGGAAACCATTTACAGGACAACCCCAAGATAAATCAAAATAACAAGAACAGAAAACATCTAAAGAAAAAACAGACAAGAAAAAGAACAAAAAAAAAAACATATTTCACTCAGGTGAGTAACATATCATAAATTATCCAAGCAATTTCTAGCTACTCCCAGAATGCTGTTCAAACTGTCAGCATCCATATCACAATAATTTGATATTGGATTGAAAGTTTCACACATCACATATACGTATATGGGTGCCTTCAAAAACAAATTTGTGCGAGCCCCGTCGCAATAAAATGTTTTAGCTGTACGAGTTTGAATAGATGGAACATTAAAGTTTATTTGAGCCACAATCTCATTAGCATCAATTTGATTGTGCAGTAGTAAAGACTGCACTTGAAACCTAGACAATAACAAACTTTCAGATATACCACTTTCAGGATACTATATACCGTCAACTCTAAAAGATAAAAATTTTAGAAACTTTCTCTGAACATGCTCAAGAGAATCAATGTAGCAGTTGTAAATTGGGTTCCAAATTAACGATGCATATTCCAATTTCGATCTAATATATCCAGAATACAAAACCAACAGTGACTCTGGGCGGCTAAAGCTTCTACAGTTTCTCACAATAAAACCATACGCCCGCGAAGCTTCACTCACCTTTTGAGCTATGTGGAGTGAAAAATTAAGTTTATGGTCAAAAACTACACCCAAATCCTTAATTGAGTTATAACGATTTATGTAAGCATCCCTAATCTTATAATTAAATTTACAAGCAGAAGTTTGCCTGGAGAAGCTGACTACACTACACTTGGACGCATTAAGAAATAAATTATTCTCGTGCAATACAATCAGTCTCAGACTCAATAATCCTGAATAATTTTAAATCATCCTCAAAGAGCAGCTTTTTACAACTTGAATAGTGCACATCATCACCAATAAATAAGGTAAACAATAAAGAACCAAGTTTTGAACAGTGAGTCACTCCCGATTTAGCTATATACTGGTACGACTTGAATCCATTAAAAGTAACATATTGCTTCCTTTCATGAAGGTAACTTTGAATGAGTGCTAAAGCTGATAAATGGAATCCATAATAATTTGGCAAAATCGGTTACATCTAGTTGACCTTGCCGATCAACACATTCAATAGCAAACTGAGTGAAGATTGTTATATTAGTTACTGTGGATCTCTTAGGCCCGTATCGTCAGTCGTCCCTACAATTGTAGGGCGCGCTTATGGCCTCCTTGATTGTCATAGTTTTCTACTTCTCCGTGTCAGAGCTATATTTTGAGGTTATGTCACAAACATCTATTGGCATCAAATTGTGCTTGCTTTTGAGTTATATCATGTTTTATCAGCCTGAAATTTCCTACAATTTAAAAGGAAAACATATCTTAACAATAGGATAGCGCTGACGCTGACACGGGACGAGTGTAATCTGGAAATTTTTGAAGGAGAGAAAAGACTATGACAATCAAGGAGGCCATAAACGCACCCTACAATTGTAGGGACG